GTCTATTAGTCTATCTATCTATGAACCTATCTATCCATGAAGTTTGGTTTATCTGTGAGTCCATCTATGCATTCATCCATCTATCTGCCTATCTATCTATCTATCTATCTATTTATCTATCTATCTATCTATCTATCTATCTATCTAATCTATCTATCGATCTGTCTGTCTATCCATCGTCCCACCAACAGCCAAAGCTGAGTTGCCCATTGAAGAAACATAGACAGATAGGCACATGCGTGCACAGAGACATGCACACGTGCATGGGAACCCAGGAGCGGCTGGTGCGGAAGATGCTGTTGCGTCTGGTGACTGCGGCGCTGCCAATCTCCTATTCCCCGGCTTTGCAGATGTGGTGTGTGGCCCGGTGCAAGTCTTGGATTTGGAGAGAGTTTCATTGAGGTCGAGCTGTGTCTTGTAAGGGCCAGATGAAGGGTACCAGCCCCACGTGTGTTTACTGTAGGATATCGCAGCAGTCCTCGCTTCAGGTTTGCCTCATCCTATCTGGCTCCCTGATGTCGTACAGCCTCCAGCAGCCGTATCTCGAGAAAACTTGGAATCAGGTGCCGCGGATGCATGTTGAGCCATCGGGCTTATCTGTTTTTGTGCAGTACCGCCAAGCAAAGGTGGAGACAACGCTTTTGTCGATTGCGCTTGTGCTGGCATTCTCAGCGAGTGCCGTTCTGGCAAATGATTCTTGGTAGTTTATGTTGACCTTGATCCAGTCATTGAAGGTTGCCTCGGGAGATCTACGAATCTTGAGATGATCTGAACCCAGGAGAAGCACTGGGGGAGTTCTTTCGACACGCAAGTGTTTGTCCTGCTGGCGATGGCTGTGTGCCTCTGATGCAGTGTTTGCCATGCTGAACCTTCCAGGAAAACCAAGCGCCCACAATGCCGTCGATTCAACCCCTTAAATGGGGTTCCTTCTTAGCACCCACGTTGCAAGAGCATGTGCAAGTCTGCTTTATTGATCAAGCCCAAGCTTTCCATGCGTTTCAAAAAAGTACCGGAAAGCGCCAAGGATCAAAGACTTGCAGAAGTGCAGAACTGCAAATATGCCCGAAAACTGGGCGAGTCCGCTGTGTGACGAGGTTGGCCACGGGCACCACACTCACGCTGTCAACCTTCGTGGCAAAGCGGCTCTACGAGGAGTCTGGATGCAGTGATTATTTGTGTTAGCAGCAGAAACAGCATCATCAGCAGCATCATCTAGCGATACTGGCAGCAAAGGGAGTCAACGTAGTCCTTGTTCTGCTAGGCCCAGTACCGTCTCGCTCACGCCACCACTGCCGTCGCCACTGCCTCTGCAACTGCTGCCAGTGCTATTCCGGAGACGACGACTACTACCACTCGCTTCTGCTTCTACAACTACTTGTGCTGTCGCTCCTCCTCCTCTTTCTACTACTACTACTACTACTACTACTACTACCTACTACTACTACTACTACTACTACTACTACTACTACCACTACTACAGCTACCACTACTTCTGCTACTACTTCTGCTACTACTTCTGCTAGTACTTCTGCTGCTACTTCTGCTACTACTTTTGCTACTACTTTTGCTACTACTTTTGCTACTACTGCTACCGGCAATGCTCCTGCTACTGCTACTGCTACTACTACCTGCGACCACGACTGGAACCACGTCGCGGAGCTGGAGCAGGACGAGGAGTCGCGGAGCAGCAGGACGAGGAGGAGGAGGAGGAGGAGGAGGAGGAGGACGACGACGACACCTGCAACTGCGGCTGCTGGATTTGTTACGATTGTCAAGACGAGCTATGACTACTGGTGCTCTGGCTTACCACCTCGTCCATGACTTGCAAGTCGCATCTTCTTCATGGGATGCGCAAGGAGCGTATCCAGAAGCGCTTTGCAAGCCAGGCAGCTGAATCTTGACCCGTGGTAGAAAAGGTGTAGCCTCTCTGCAATGCAGCAGCATACAAGGAGTTCCGCAGCTAGCATGTTGGCAGCAACATGCAGCAACGTGAACTGCCTGTTGTTCCTCTAACAGCTTCAATTGTAGCCTTCGAAAGCAGGCAGAAACTGTCACGAATCAGGCCTAGGACCCACAATCCTTGTTCTCAGCCACTTCAGTCGGTCAGCCACAGCCGATCTGAGCATCTGTTTAAGATGTCGCATAGCATCGGCATGACCCACAACGCAAGATGCAAAAGTCGGAGGGTTTAGTGATAGCGTTGCCGCGCCGTAGCATCTATCGCCATGCCGGTCATTTGCATCGGTGCGGGACCCGACGTCTTAATCCTTGCGCTCGAGTGCACCATTCTCGCTGCTATAACATGGGCTTTGCTAAGGGCCTGTCTGCATCCCATGGACCTGCATCCCTGCCGTCGTCTTCTTCGTATGGAAGTTTGCCAAGCCGATGCTCCCTGCGGAGAGCCGGGCTTGGGCGGCTTGGGGCTTCGGCGTCGCTCCAATGCTCCGCCTGAACGGCAGGACTGGGCTGCGGCCATCGAGAGACAGGCCGCCAAGCTCTGGGCGCTCCTGGCGCCCTACATGGAGAAGGTATCCCCGATAGAGATCCAGTGTTTGCGGTTTTGGTCTCGCCTGCTGAAGGACAGCTCTGCAATCTTACCCGATCTTTCCTTTTTTACAGCTTGCGGACAGGTTCCGTTTCTTGGGAAGAAGAAGAGTGCGAAGGCCTTGCCAGGTTGCTGCTGTCATTGTGTTCTCCTTTCCCTGGCTAGGCAAATGGCACGGCGGAGCCGGTGCGATCAGGGGAGGCACGGGCACGGGAACGCTACGTCAAAGTGTTGGGCGGTCAATTGGGGCCCTATGGGTTGGAGCAAATGATCGGCTTCATTGGCGGCAGAAGCCGAGTTCGAAGTCAAGCGAGTTGTAAAATCTGAGGCAAGAACAAGGTTGCTTGGCCTTGGGTGATCATGCTCCTGGGTTTCGCTTATCTCGCGCCTGAAGAAGAGCCCAGCCTGCCCAATCGAGGCTGACAGGCCAGTTCTTGTTCATATTTCTGTATGAGCAGCACATGTCAGCTCGCGGCTATTTCAAAGTGCAATCCACAGCGGCATGTCGCGAAAGCAGGCATGGAACTCACATCTGCAACCCTCCCGTGGACCACGGTATCCTGTTTAAAACAATTACTTGTAACTGACTTGTCGAAGTTTTCGTTCTCAGATATTCTCGGTTGGGGATGACAGTGTGCATGCGCAGTGTGTCCACAAGGAGACCGGTGCCAAAAAGCGGATGACCATTTTCCAGAATAATAGGAAATATTTCCCATAAGGATTTTTTAATGCAGAGTTTGATGTTTTCGGCTTATCGGATTGTCGCAGGTGGGTCACCTGGCATCTGCAGAACAGCTGCAGGCGTTGCTGCAGCGCTCAAAGGAGGACGCCTGGAAGAGCGCGGAGACTTCGATTCCTGCAGCTTCGAGTGTTTTCTTCGGAGCCTGGAGGAGTCCTTCGGCGTCGTCCTGGACTTCACTGCATCCTGGTGCAAGCCCTGTCAGGTGGGGTTGGGTTTTTCTCGGACGGCCGAGTCGCATGATATTACGCCGCAATGGTCGAGCAAATCGAGCTGGCAAGCTACTTGTCCTTGTCTCGACAGCCCCGTGCAGGCGATCAAGCCCAAATTCCAGGCAGGTGATGCAAGAGTTTATGGACGTTTTACAGCATCGGAGGACCGAAAGCTCAGCTGCAGTTCTCGTCCCATTGCAGCCTGAAGGCCCTGGCGGCCAGCTACCCGCGTCATGTGTTCTTGGAGGCCAGGATGCACAAGTATCTGTCGGTGTCTGTGCAGGTTTAGGGGTGTGTGAGTGTGTGTGTGTGTGTGGTAGACAGGCAGAGACATTTTACGGATGCATGCGGTCATACAGCACTGCAGAGGTAACACGCAATGTGAGATTAATTGTGCCATGGGTAGCAGCTGACAGCTAACATGCATACTGTCTCGAGTTGTAGTTGAACATTGCTACATGAGGACGAGTGAGAGAACACGCTCGCAGGTCAATGCTGATGAGCTTGAAGACGTCGTAACCCGCTGCGGAGCCGTGTGCACAGCTGCTTCAGTTTTTGAAGATACAAAGACTTTCACCTGTCTGGCTCGAACCTCCATCGGAAGCAAAGAAGATGAAGCGAGTATTCAAGTGGGTTCTCTCGAGGTGATGGGCCTTCCCACCTTCCAAGCCTACGTGGCAGGCGAGCAGGCTGGATCCATCACAGGCCCGGATTGCTTGTGTCACTCGACAATGTACACTTTAGTCTTGCCACCGGCTGTGGGTGCCCCATGACATAAGCCTTAAGCCCCGTAGATGAGGGGCCGACGAAGCGAAGCTGACGACGCTCATCAGCCTCTCTGGAAGCACTGGAGACACTCTGTGTTTCAACGAAGTTGCAAAGCAGCTGTGGTCGGAGTTCACTCTTTTAGCTGTTCGCTATCTGTCAGAGTCTTTGCGGACCCTTTCCAAGGCACTGCACTGGGCACACCTTCGACAGACGCCAAGAAAGCGCAGTGATGATTTGCAGTTCGCCCATGGCGGCGGTTTCACACAATCTTAATCAGAGACCACATCGCATCAGCGGTGCAGCTTGACACAGGCTCAGCTTTGATGCGGCGAAAACTTCCTTGTACAACAGCATACAGCAACCCAAACCGAGGTCTTCATCTGTTCAGGCCCGATGCATGAGAACCTATGCAGGGATTGGACTGAGCGTTCCCGGGGCTTTCTGCTCAGTTTACGGACGGACACAACATGAACAAGTCATAGCCCGACGAGTAGATGTAACCGTGGCAAACTTCCACGGCTTCTGGCTGCATGTGTAAGCTGTATCTACACAGATATGAGCACAATCGGTGTTGTCGCCCAAAACAGGTTTGTTTCGGAAGAGCTCTACCACATGTAGTAAGACACCACAGTCAGGACCATGGTACCAAATCAACGAAGTGTAGGACAATACAGTTCACGGCAAAGTCTGGAGAGACCCACAGCACGTAGTTCGACGGGGCCGATGTGCTCCAGCCATGGCTCAGGCTGGGACTGGCCCAAACGATTTTCAGAAGTGCTGGGCTCGTTTTCGGTTAGCTTCGAGGCTCCCGAGCTGTGTTGAGTCCAAGACCTGCCACTGCAGGCGAAGGAGAAGAAGGACATGAACGCTCACCCCTTCTTATTCGAGGACTCTTTCCAGGCCCCCGCGGAGCGGAGTGCAGAGATTTTGCAGCAGCTCCGCCTCTGCGTGAGTCCTCTGAGTTTTTTCGCGTGGAAAGCTCAGCAGGTGAAGAGCCGCTGCCCAAGCGAATTCAGCCAAGTCTGGGAGTTTCCGAATATGAGGGGTACCTTATTTTGGGGGTCCTTATAATAAGGATCCTACTATTTAGGGTACTAGATTAGGGTCCCCTGTTTTCGGAAACTCCCCAAGTGAGGAGCGAAGAGACGTGCAGAGCAGGGAGTTTGCATGCGATGCTGGCTTGCGCTCAGATGTGGACGACTCGCGATTCGAGCGGGCGGGACGGATGGACTGTGAGTCCGTCGCCTTCACCACTAACAATCTCGAAATAGTCCGCCCCTTGGGGATTGCCGGGCTTGTTTATTTGTGGTGAAGCACGCTCGCAAAGTAGTTGTGTCCTTGCTGCAGTCGTGCACAAAAGGTGACTTCCAGACTGCTCTGCTGGCAGCTCAGGACATCAACCACATTATCTACCCAGTCCAGGGTGGCGACCAAATCTACGTTGCGATAACCCGCAACGTGAGCCCTGCGGATGATCCCAGGAAGCTCAAGCGGACCCGGCAAGCTTGCCTACGGTGGAGAGCGGTTCAGAGCGCCTTGCTTTTGAAGGGGTTTTACATGCATGTTGCAGTCTTTCTTAGCTTTTAGGAAGCCGATCATGTTGCGCATGTTGAGATGCCTTGGGCACGCTACGCCCGCCCTACCCAGAGAGTGCAGAGCCTCACTGCACTCTTCACACCGTTGGCCGGGTGTGGGGCGCAAGATGTGGGCAACGAATCTGAGCATGCTTGGGGCCAACCCAGAGGCCTCAGTGAGTGGATGACAGTGAGACGATGGGCTAACGTGCTCACTGGGCATGCTTGCCGCAGGTGCCCTCGCCTGCAGGGTGAATTTCGCACTGCATGACTTGTTCTGCTGCTAATCCTCACCTGCGGTCCACCTGTCTGCGGGCGGTCTGCAGCTAACCCCCGATCTTGAGCATGGCGCACTTGCCGCTCAAAGGAAGCCCGGAGCAGTGCAACCGCAAAGTTGCGGAAGATCCCAGATCTAAACTCAATCACAGGATCTCACTGTCTTGCAGGTGCATTGAAGAGCAGCAGGTTTTTTTTGCCATGGGCAACATTGCGCGATTAGCCAGGACCGCGGTGCATGGTGTTAGCAGTGGAACTTGAGAGTGCACCCGTGGCCGCGTCTTGCATGGAGGGGAGGCCGAGCCACACTGTGTCGTCGGCATGCCTGCAAGTTCCGTTGCAGTTGCACATGCGCAGTCTTATGGTCTAAGATTTCCTCTTGCGAGCTTTGAGCTGTGATGTGCAATCTTTGCCATGGACGCAAGTGGAAGCCTGATCTTTGAGCTGGGGTATCCTAGCTGCGGATCTGCTTAGTTTGGTCATCTGTGCAGAGGATAAGGTGAAAGAGCACCTTGTCGAACATTCGCAGCAGTCTGCAGCGTGGAAGCTCACGTGCCGGAGTCAGAAACCTGAACTGCGATTATCACAAACCGAACCCTCAGACTTTTGCGGCTCTGCAATCGCTGCATCTTGGGGTCAACACGTCTGACGGCCTCTGGCCTCCTTGGCATGTGACCATCGCTTTTCGTCAGTGTCGCCGTTGCATGAAACCTTGCTTCCAGCACAAAGCTGCGTCTCTGTCGCACTCTGAGTTTGTAGATGGCCTGCGCGTTCTGCAGACTTCAACTTCTCTGTTGATGACAGTACTGCGTACGACCACGACCCTCGGCTACTCGGGCGCTCAGTGATGGATCACTTTGACTACGTCATGTACGGCAAGGCCCAGATGTCCTGCCGCGGCGCCTTGCAAATGTTTTGTGTGTCCTGTTTACAGGTCTACAAGAAGGAAGTCAAGAAGGAAGAGAATCTCGCGGCCCCTTGCCGATGATATTTCGGCGCCGAGTCATTCCTTAGTTCCGTTCAACTGATGCCAGACGGTGTGGGCATCCTACGGCGGGCTGCTGATGAAGTCCTGCCCTCAGTGTCGAATGGGCTGCAAGCTCGGCGGCTTTAGCTGTGGTCAAACAACGTTGAGTCACGCAGACCTTACAATCCTCGAAGCCGTGCACACTCAACCCCTACTTAGCTTGACAAGAGTCTGCCTCCCAAAGAAACCCCACCCACAAATCCTAAACCCCAACCTCAGAAAACCTCAGCCCCTCCCCCGAATCCGAAACTTCGCTGAGGCTGCGAGCGGAGGCTGCTCAGCTTGCGGTGCGCCCATGCCAGCTCACACAGTGAACACCCGTAGTGTGCATCTGGAAGCATCTGTGACGTTAAAGGAAGAAGCTTAGGAGAAGCATAGTGAGAGTTTTTTGCGTGTTTTGGGGTGTGGTGCACAAAGCTGCAGCGAGGACTTCCATCTGAACGACAGCATCTACTTCATGATGCGCAAGGTGCAGGCCGATGACATGGACATTTCGTAGCTTGCCGGCTCTCCCAGCAAAGGACTCACAACTCAGAAAGCAGCTTACTCTGCACATGTCACGAGAACAATCCTTTCTGGGATACCTGTGTCATCCGACGCGCTCCGGTCCGGCCAAAATCCTGCGGGCAAAATTGTGGGGACTCGCTTTGTCGACAAGGCACGATTTTGCTTGTGGATGAGGCTGTGAAGCTGTTTCTGGGTCTGCCCTCGCAGCTGCAGGTTCTGAAGCCGTATGCTAGGAGTCTAACAGGCTTTCACATAGTGCTGCAGCCAAATCTCAAGACACCCAAGGTTCAAATCACCTGTATACACCAGCAGCCATACCTCAGTACTTGATGGGATCACGTATGTTGCAGTGGGTAACAGCTTGCTAGGGTCGCATTGCATGCTCAGCAAGACAACAGACACACCAGACACAGCAGCAATCAGCACCGACTCGCCTGCCATTCCCTTGAAGATAAGACGAACGAGTCACAACAAGCCAACTCAGCAGCACCGGACCGTCTCTGCTTGATCTCTCAGTGGCAACTCCCGCTTTCGCATGATCCAGTGCGAAGGAAGCCAGTGCCGTCAGGACCAGTCTTTGACTGTCCATGGTTTTGATTGGCAGCCCTGGAGAGCAGTCTTTTCGCTCCGCAGGAGATCTTTGACTGCCGAAGAGGCGGTGGAGGTGGGTTTTTTTCGGAGTTTCTGCTGTAGGTTCTCAAGCCGTAGCCTTTTGAGTGGCTCTTTTGCACTTCTTTTGCTCAGCTCGGTGAGCTGCAGCTTCGTGGCTTCGTGGGGCCAGGACGGTCGAGATGATTTGGGATGCCAGCGATGCGAACCCCATGCACCGGCGGCTACCCGCCGAGGCCCAGCCTGCGCTCGCCCGCGCTTGCACCGGGCCTTTCTGGGGTGCTTTTGTACCTTCGCGGCAGGTTGTATCGCGGCGCCGAGCCGACAAGAAGCCAAAAGCGCCCGAACCCACCACGGACGAGGCTGGAAAGATGCGAGCGATATCGTGCGATGTCTATGCGGTGTGTGATGCGGGCTGGAGCATGGTAGGTTGTGGTCGACCTGAAGACCGCGATCACCTTGAAGCCTGAAGCCAGGACCAAATGGCTCAGCAAGGCCGGTCGGCTGAATGTGTCTCCTTACTTCGATGTGACTTCAGTCGGAGCTGAGGCCTGTGCAATGGTGGAGCAGGGCAAGGCCAAGCCGACGGACCTTTACGACATCGTCACAAACCGTGGCTTCGCAGCACCACGGGCTCCATGGTGTGTGGTACCAGTAGCGTTGAAAGTCTGGTCTTCACTCCTTTAGTGTTCTCCACCGCTGAAGTGGTGGCGGTTACATTCCGTTGCGAGGCAAGTTCTCCGGAGGCTTGCCCGGGGCTGAGCCTCGCCGAGCCTCGAGCCGTGGAGGGCCAGTGCCAGTGCCTCAGTGCTCGATTGCCCGAGGCCCGACCGGGTCGGTCGCAAGTTGGCCAGCATCATCCGTGACAGCCACGATCCTCAGACAGCGCGCTTCGAGTACAGGGGGGGTTCCTGGTGTCACCTCTCCGCCACCAAGGCTTTTCCATCTTCTCCGACAAGCAGCAGTGTGACGCCCAGGAGCCTCACCTGCTCTCCTTCACTGTGCGACAGACACCCCCAGTGCGTGGTTGAAGTACACTAGTCTTGGACGATGGCTCTGATGGCTCTGATGGCTCTGAACACGGAAGCTGCTGTGTAAAATTCGGGGCGAGAGAAGGCAGGTCCGTTCACGCAGAAGCCGAGCCGAGGCGGTACTTGAACTCCACTGAGAGCCCCGTTCCAGTCGGAGCCTTCGGCGTGCAAGTGCCGGTGTGTGATCCTGCTGGCCGCTGTGTCCCAAGATGCACCTCGCCACGCAAGAGGACGAGGAGGCAGAGGAGGAGGAGTGGCGATCAGGGTCGGTCTGCTTCATGCAATCACGAGACTCCCAGTCGTGTCAGCTCGTCATATCGATATTCGCTCGCCACCACAACTCCTGACAAACGGCATGTCAGTGAGCTGTTGGACCTTGGCAGCTCTGAGGAGGCACCTCGGCGCCCAAAGCGTGCGCCACGCGAGGAGGCGCCAGCCACAGTCGGGAACTCGGTAGCGCTCTCATGGGTGTGACGACGTAATGCAAGCTTGACATTCGGCCCTGTCGTGAGGCCACGATTCCAGAAATCACGCTGAAAGATGTCGACAACAAGGTAGTATCTCGTCCGGCAGTTGTGCAGTGAGGAGAGAAGGTAGACATCTTCATGACCTCCTCCAAGGCCAGCAGAAAAGAGAAGCCGCCGCAGAATGCTCAGCTAAAAAGATTGGTGCGGTTTGGTCCATGGCCCCTAACAAACCCGCAGGAGTTCCATCAAGCTCCCAGCCCTTGAAACCTTAACCCCCTCAACCACTCTCTGAACTCCTGCACCCTAAAGCCCTGCAGGCGCAGAGCCTTGTACCATATTTCCGAAAATAAGGGGTACCTCTATTTTGCGGTCCTTATAATAAGGATCCCACTATTTCGGGTGCTATATTAGGGTCCCCTATTTTCGGAAACCCCCCAGAAAACACCCCCAGACCCTAGCGACCGGACGTTTTGTCCGAGGCCCCCTGGGCCGGTCGTCGAGGCCCCGAGGCCTCCGCCGGCCAGCAGCCGAGCGCGTGCGTTTCGAGTTTGGGGTTTCGGTGTAGGGTTTAGGGTT